TTTTTACTTAAAGCTGCCTAAAAATTCAGGAATCGTTTATATTAAAAATATCTTTGCATATGAGTTAAATTATATGCGAAGAAAAGTTTGAATAGGATTAAAGTAGATTTATAGAAAAAAGTTATAAATTGTGATATTAAAGGGGTGATACGTGGATATAAGAGATAAGAGATAGGTGAATAGAAAAGGGTAGAAGGAGAGATACCAGTAGCCTGGTGGTAAGAATGGCAAGGCTCATTGACGATGCCGACTAAGATGCCTGCGAAACGTCTGGGAGTGAACCACATCCACGGCCCGACTTTAAAAATGATCATGCATACTATGGAGTCCGGACAAGGTGCGTTCCTCTAGGTTTTCCTGCCAATATGACCAAGTTGAGATAAAGGATCAAACACTTTCTATACAACTAAAGGAGACCGCGAGCATACAAAAGACTACATCATCCTGGTCTTCGCAACTTCGATAAAAAGTATATACTTTAAAAAACTCCTGTTCCCATTTCTTCCCTTAAATTTCGAAAATATTTTAGTTTGAAATAAAAGTTTAATTATAATTCATTGTATGCATAATAATTCCCAAAGTTGGACCGTGGGCTTGATACATTCCCAGACGTTTCGCAGGCATTGTAATCGGCATCGTCAATGAGCCTTGCCATTCTTAGCACCGACCTACAAATCATTAAAGCGACAAGTGAAATAGATCCTGTAACCAATTGTCTGCTAAATTGTTATGGTATCTCTCCTCTCAGCCCATGCTATTCACCTATTTCCTATCTTTTATATCCTAGTATCACCTTTTTAATATCACAATTTCTTCCTTGTTTCTCTAAATCTATTTTAATCCTATTTAAACTCCCCGCAAATTGATAAGGGCATCTGCACCGTAAAGTTGGGTTGCCATGCTAATTGAGACTTCAGACTTTAGGACCATGCTCAGTGAGGTTGGCGTATATGTGCCATCAAAGGTTTGAGGCAGGGTGTAGAATATAACGCCTTGAGTAGCGATGGAGTAAAATTACTGAAACAGGTCGATAAGCGAAGGATTCTACGAAGCAAGAAGGGGACTCTGATAGGACCCGAAGGGAGAGGATAGCAGATTAAACCGCAGATGTCGAAACCAGAGGAGAGTGTGAATGGGTTTCATATGGGTTTAGATAAACTAGTAAGAAATTGTGATATTGCAGGGGTGACACGAGGATATAGGATTGGTGATAAGCCCAGGGCGGAAGAAGAGATACTACGATTGTTTAGCAGACAATTGATCAAAGGATCGGCTTCAATTGTCGCTTTGACGAATAGAGATGTGAGGAGGATACTCAAAATGCCCGTTTTCTTTATACATTATCAAATAATATAACTTATTGCGTTAGGATAGGAGTGAAGAGATCAAAGAAAATATGGAGTTTATATCTAGCAAACGTAAATCATCAGAATCAAGAGTTCTAGGGGTAAAGAGCAATCTTAGTTGAAAAAAATAATCCTCTAGGCTTAATTGTCCCATTGACGAGCTGTAGCCTGCTGCTGAGAATAGTAAGACTCACTTACTATGCCAAATAAGTTGAGGGCGAAATGTCTGTGAATGTACGACGTCTACGGTCTGAATCTGAAAATGATCATGCATACTATGGACTCCGGTCAAGGTGCGTTCCCCTATGTCTTCCAGCCATTATGACTAAGTTGCGAAAACAAGGTCATACAACTTCTATATAATTTTTAGTGTAATAGTGCATAGTTTGTCAAATTTTGAATATTATATAAAAATAGGCATAATTAGCAGGCAGAAATTTTCTGATTACTTCAGTAAAATCTTCGTAATTTTACTGCTTTTTGCCCGCGTTACCAGACTCTTACCCGAAATACGAATTCAGCTATTGCCCAAACCCTATTTAAATGTATATTTGCTAATTGAGCATTTAAATAAAAGTACAATGCACTGTTTTGGCTGCTATATCAATAATTTCCTACTGATATTACTTTGGCATACAATATTCTATCCTAAATTGCACCACTTTGAAATTGTAGAATGTAGTATTTTATTTACTTTAACCATTCATTACTCTTTAGAATGCATTTGGATTACCATTTTACTTTTAAATGGCTAAAGATTACTTACTAGTAAACTTGGAAAAATTCATATTGTAAGGGTAACTCAGTTGCTCTTAATCTGCAGGCTAAATAAAGATGCAATGTGAGTGTGCGTTAAGAGCAGCGAAAGCTCTTTTGAGCAGCTTATTCAAGTTTATGCATACTTTGTGCTCAGGATTGATAAAGTATGATATTTCATGCAGAGTAGAGGAACAAGATCCTTAAGATGCGAAATAATTTAGCCTTATTTGACAGACGTAATACAATCCAAGTTCCTGAACAAGCGATTTTTCACAAATTTTATACTCAAATCGTCCACACACAACCGGCAAAACTTGAAGACTGATCTTATCTCAACTTAACATCAGGTCAAGTATATTTGCCAAGAGAACTAAGATAAACTTATTCCAGGAGTGAAGCGGAATCTTAATGCTTTGCGAGATGCCAACTCACTTTTAAATCTGCTATTAGAGAAGTCGAATACAAATTCTTAGATCACCAGACAACCCGATCGTCGCTAGGTTCTAATATGGCAAATGCTGCCTACCAGCCGGTTGGTAGAGCATGAAACCTGCCTAGTTAGCCTTTGATCTTTTCAAGTCATTTTAACCAACTTTGACTAGGAGGCAAGACCTCATTTATATTAATCATTTAATTGGAAATTCCGACTAAGTTAATGCGTAATGTGTTTGGATGCAAGGCAATTGAAACCACAATGCTCATATTTAGTGCATGTTTTAAATTAAGCCAGAGTGACTACAATGTCTCTGAAAGAGATTCAGCCAAAAAATTGTCATTTTTTATTTCATACATTTACATCCAAGACTACAGAATCTTAGGAAAATGTACTAAGTGTCGCTAGATGACTCAAAGTTTTCCCAATATGGGTTTACCAGCTATACATTTTCTAGTTTTCTTGGGTTCAAAAGTATAACATACGTTTACTTAAAACATAAGCTACAAAAATATGTTTCGTATGATTCGATTTCTGCCTGGGCAATGTTGGACAAATAATCCCTCTTATAACTCTTAAACTGAAAGTTCCCAAACTTAAATGCATCGAATGTTAATGTCTATTCCGAAATTTAAAAAATATCTGAAATAGCGTATGTGAACAGACCGACTCGATAATTATAAAAAAAAGTGTCACAGTTACGACAAAAGATTTATATATGTTATATTACTCTAATTGGCTTAAAAAACGCTTCCAGTAAACCTTATTGATCATAGCTGGTAGCATTTTATTTCCTTGCCCAATGAGAAAGGTTAGTTTCTTTCCATTTCTTATCTTTATATGTTTTTTCCCCTTTTTTCTAGCAACTTGACCCTTAAATCTGGCTAAATCATTCAACACTCAATAACTTATTATTTACTTTAATCAACTAATCTGAGCTCATATATGTCGTTCTTTATGCGTTAACTATAACACTAATAAAAATAAAAGATGCTTCAGAGGACATTGAACAATGAATCGAATGCCACTGGCCCAATATTCAATCCAAGACACGACTACGTTCCATTTTCGAACCCAAGGACAAGCCTGCATATTACTTATTGGTTAACTGGGATTTCCTAAACTGGATAGACATTTAAACATTATATATTTCCCATACACACTGGTTAAGCATAAAATTGGCTAGACGAAAGTTCAGTTAATAAGAGGGAGCAATTGTGACTTACGAGACCAGGACTTGGCACTAACCAAAGCAGGAGGCCTAGCGCAAGACCGAATGCGGCACCTGCCAGCGCTTCTAGAGGTCCTATAACAAGAGTGGCGATTATCGACTGACCGGTAGTCAGTGCAATAGCCAAGGCAACACCGAATCCAGAAATGGCGATCACATCATCAATAGAGGAGGCCGCCATCACCAAAGTTGGGATGCCCTTGTCGACGCCCCAACCGGAAAGTTCAAGACGCAGCATATTTGGTACAACAACCGCCGGAGAGACGGCAGCCACAACGAATCTGGAGGGAGGATGGGAGTTTTATATTTAAGGGAAGGAGAAAGGCAACTCAAACTAATCATAATATGAAGAGGAATAAAAGCGGGATAATGTCCAGGATAATAACGGGAGTAATGTGGAGATGATTGAGACATCTGATTAACAAAATGCATATACTATGAGATGTATTCACCCTATTTCGTTTAAGGTGATGAAGGACTCATAGTAGAATTTACCCACAATGATATGAGTAGACCTGACGTTTTCATTGAATTTCACATTGCCTTGCTTTCCCAAAAGTTGTTCTCATCCAGGCACCGGTGGTCTGTAGTAGAATTTTCCCACAATCATATGAATAGACCATACATTTTCATTGAATCTCACATAACCTTGCTTCCCAAAAAGGATTCCCATCCAGGCAGGAGTGGATTGCATTTTCGGTTATGTAATATTCAATGAAAACGTCAGCTCTACTCATATCATTGTGGGTAAATTCTACTTCTAGTCCTCCATCACCTTAAACGAACTAGGGTGAATACATCTCATATTACTGATTTACTGGTAGTCTCGAAACTCTACTCAAACACGAAAAATACATTGCCACAAATACACCTGGCTAGTAAGTGACGAACGTCACCATCAAAGGAATAGCTTAAACAAACCGATATTTTTTTTTAAATTTTGACTAGTGAATTATGAATAAAAAGATTGTCATCAAAATGCATATCCCATGCACCCTGTAAATAGTGAAACTTTGGCCTGCTAGGCTTTGCATCATGGCACTAATAGGAAGGTAAATTCCCTA